GAAAACTAGTATTATAAAGAACATGTTGTTTATGATATAATCATGCCATCAGGCAACTTGTATTTAAGAACAAAATGATGCTTATGATATAAATATTCCACCAGTTTATCGATTCATTATTTTACAGAGGATTTGACAACTGTACCTACTACGGACAAGACAACAGTCACAACCACACTATCAGGTGAGGCTTGTGTTTGCTTATCGTCGTAGCAACAATACTTACAAGTTCTTTATCGTCAGAGAAGCTGCTTAACATATCTCAATGAGGACGACGGTTCTGCCGTCAGGCTTGTTGTTGTTCCGAGGTACTGATTTTTACTGATACGGGTGAAGCAGGCTGGGCGGCAGACTGAAGTCCATCAATGACCTGGTCAAGAATTGCATCACTTATTGATCTTATGGACTATTTCGTTTTCGCATATTGATGCAATAATCTTATCCATAAGGTTGGGTGATGATAGTATGTGTTTGCTTATCGTCGTAGCAACAATACTTAAAAGTTCTTTATAGTCAGAGAAGCTCCTCAACATCTCTCAATGACGACGACGGGTCTGCCGTCAGTCTTGTTGTTGTTCCAAGGTACTGGTTTTTACTGGTACGGGTGAAGCAGGATGGCCGGGCGGCAGGCTGAAGATTTTGAGCTCGATCTGGTCGACATTACTTCCTAAAGTGTTGATGTTTTTGTACTGTCAAGTTACCGTAGTGCGAATAATTAAAGTTTTTTATGAGCGAGTTTGAAACAGGTTGTTAGTTCGTCATGACCTTTGACCTTACTTATATATATATATATACATATATATATATATATTTATTTATATATATGTGTATATGTATATATATGTATGTATATATATGTATATATATGTATTTGTATATGTGTATATATATATGTATATGTATATATGTATATATATATATGTATATATGTGTATATAGGCCTATATATATAAGTTTAATCATTCTGCATACAACGTTGTTTCGTCCTTTAGAGACTCATCAGTTCAGCTCAGATTTGAGATTGGAACATAGCTATGAAACAAACAAGCCTGTAACAAGGCAGTTTAAAAGCGCTCGTAATACCATGCCAAGAGTGCTCAAACTACATAAGTAGTGGGCCAGCTAAAGGTAAAACAGCAATGGTACTATCTCAATAGAGTGCTCAACAAAACAAATGTTAGGAGCATAATAGTTTAATCAATCTGCATACAACGTTGTTT